ATAGTTAAGTAGGCACCAGTGTCACGGAAGCCAGTTACTTTTCTCCCATCAATGGAGACATCCTGCCTATGCTGCTGACTTGGCTCCGGGTAGCTAGGAATAAGAGGTTGGACTCCATAGACTCCAGTCGGGGCGTCCGTTGTGGGAGCCACCCCACCACTTGGGGGCAATGGGAGTCTGTCTTCCTTCCAGGCCAGCTCCATGTGGGGAACAGGGTCTGTGGTTGGAGCCTGGGGAGGGTGGTGGTTTTTGGGGCAGCTAGCCTGAAGATGCCTGGGTGATCCCCACCCAGAGCACAAGTGATCCAAGGGTGACCCAGAGGGCTCGGGTCAGGGTGGCAAGTTCTTAGAAGCTTGGTATATATTCACATACTGTACCGGCTCTGGGTGGTGGTGCATGCTGTCCTTCCTCTTAGTCGGGCATTGCAACAGATAGTGACCATTCTGACCACAGCCAATACAGCGCCGGCCTGAGTTAGTCATGGGGGACCCCGGTGGGGCAGCAGACATACTTAGGGGTTCCACTCAAGGGGAAGGCACTGGTAGGTGGCCCATTCTGCGGTGCGGAGGCATATATGGGAGGGGAGGGTGGTGGTTTTTGGGGCAGCTAGCCTGAAGATGCCTGGGTGATCCCCACCCAGAGCACAAGTGATCCAAGGGTGACCCAGAGGGCTCGGGTCAGGGTGGCAAGTTCTTAGAAGCTTGGTATATATTCACATACTGTACCGGCTCTGGGTGGTGGTGCATGCTGTCCTTCCTCTTAGTCGGGCATTGCAACAGATAGTGACCATTCTGACCACAGCCAATACAGCGCCGGCCTGAGTTAGTCATGGGGGACCCCGGTGGGGCAGCAGACATACTTAGGGGTTCCACTCAAGGGGAAGGCACTGGTAGGTGGCCCATTCTGCGGTGCGGAGGCATATATGGGGAGGAGGGAGTAGCAGGAATACCAGCAGACTGCGGCTCCTCAGCAGACACTTTTTCCCATTGGGGATTGATGGTTACAGCTTCATCTGCTAAGGCTGCAGCTTCATCCAGGGTGGCTGGTTTTTGCTCTCGCACCCACTGTCGAATCTCATAGGGGCATTTGTAGAGGAACTGCTCCTTTAAAATAACTTTATTTAATTTGCTCTGGGGAGATCGCATTCTCCCCTTCCAGCCACCGTCGACAGGTTAGAGATATTTTGTGTGCATACATTTTAAATTAATTCTCATGCAGACAAGGTGAGCTCCTGAACTGGGCACGATAGGCATCCGGTGATACAGCATAATAGTCCAGCACTGCCCTTCGGATATCATTATAGTTCCTTCTCTTTGCAGGGTCCAGCATTCAGTAGGCCTCAGCCGCTCCTCCATCTAACAGTCCCACCATGTAGCGAGTCCAGTCTGAGGGTGGGACCTCCAGCAGTTCACACTGGTGCTCAAAGTCCTGGAAGAACCCTTCCACATCTCCCATATTTTCCTGGAAGGGCTTGAAGTCTTTGCGGGAAAACCTTGGGGTCTCCCTCACTGCAGGCACAGGGGCAGCAGCACGAGTGCTTGCAGCTTCCCAATCTTGCTGCCTTTTTTGTGCCATCTCAATTGCTGCAAGTTTCCTTTCGGTTGTAGCGTCCTCCCCCAGAATGGCCATCTCTTCCTCATACCAGAGAACCCACGGGCTCTTACTGGCAGGATCGGGGAGCACAGGCACCTCTTCCCTCAGTTGTAATCGAACAATGTCAGCACCCAGCTCTCCCTGCTGGCCGGCTTCCTCTAGCAACCTGACCAGCTGTTCCCTAGAAAGTCCCTTGTAGCTGAGACCCAACTCCCTGGCCTTCTCCTGTAGACTGCTGACAGTCCAATTGTGGTATTGTGGGGTCCCCATTGTGTCCATGGTGTGCAGGCTCTCATCTGCCATCTCCTGTGCTCTCATCTGCCCTCTCCTGTGCTCTCGTCCCACCGCTGCCACCAGTTGTGACGAACTAGGAAGGCAGAGAGAATACACAGAGGCAAATCACACAGAGGCTGGCGTGCGGGGTGTTTATTGGGGAATTCAGGTATACAAAGCAAGGTACAAAGGCCGGGGCTATGTCCTGGGAGGTTGCAGGCCACGGGGAGGGTCAGACCGGAAGGTAGGCAACGGGCCAAGGAAGGAATAAGTCCAGAGTCACAATGCTATTAATCCAGGGATCAGAGGTGCAGCAAGAGGCAAGAGATTAATTTGCTTGTCTGTTCTACATACAAGCTGTTTTACCTGCTAAAGGATTTGATTTTCTATTCACACCTGTACCACCTAGCACAGCCATCCAAGAGACATGACATTATATATATATATATATATATATAAACATCTGTGCATTCATCTGTTTGCCTGTTTTGAAAAGTGGAGGTGTGCACATTATTCTGATTTTTTACAATCCAGATTGGACACCATTCAAGAGTTACTTACTTGCATGCCAAGCCATTATTTTTTCCAGCTTCTTCTTTTTTTATTTTCATAACAAGGTGCTTACAGGGCCTATTCATATGAGTTTCAGGTCCTGATCAGGTCTTGATCAGGTCCGGATCTGCAGACGCGGTGCGTTTTTGACGCGTTGGCGTTTCCTGACCGTTCAAAATGTGACATGCAGTATTTTTCTGTCGTAACCTGAACGGACTGCGCACGTGAGAACTGTAGCCCATAAAGCACATAGGGATACATTGGGATGCATTTTGAGTGCAGGAGCGTACGGATCAGGTCAGCACACAAAACGGACGTCGTGTGAACAGGCACGAAAATTAAATTGGAGTGCCAGCCCAAAGCTTGAAACTCCCTCAACCACACTTATATGGGCAGGGCTCGAGAAATCCACTCGTCCACTCGTCTGTGACGAGTGGACAGTGGAGCCCAGCCATGTAAATACTGTTTATTTTATTTCAATGATTTTTACTTTGTGCGTGCATTAAATATATATGTTTGTGTAAAGGCTTAAAAAGATGTTACAACAATATGAGTACATACTACATGTATGTATTAACAGTGAATTTGTTTTGTAAACTTTATTTTGGTTTTTCATATAGTTATTTCTACTCAATGCTGTGATGACATTCATTTAGATCTTATGAGTACATCACAGTGACATGGTGGTTAGCTTTTCTGCCTTGCAGCACTGGGAGACACTGGTTTGGATCCCAGTCAGTGCACTATATTCATGGAGTTTGCATTATCTCCCTGTGCTTGTGTGGGTATCCTCGTGGTACTCCATGTTCCTCCCACGATCCAAAAACATGCTGTTATGTTAATTGTCTCTTGTCTAAATCAGCCCTAGTATGTCATATAGGGACCTTGGTTTGTAAGCTCATTGAAGGCAGGGATTATACGGTATATGCTATGTAAATGTTCAGTGCTATATAAATATCTGTAATCATGAGAAAGAACTGGTAGTGCAGAATGCTTCAAAGTTTCTGCACCATGTTGTCTTTGTATTGTTCTCATTGAATAACAAACACCTACCGCAATTGCAAGATTTCAGCAAAGATTACTTATGTTTATTTCCATTGTTACTCTTATATGAGGTTGGATTTGTTGGCCACTCTGGCAGGTGGTCTACCACCCATAGCATTTCCTGGGTTGTTTGGGTATGGCTACCCATCCACTCGCCCTCTTTTTTTATCCTGGAATGAGAGCAGCATAATGGTACCACTCAAAGGTAGAGTTCTGAGTTGTAAATTATTATTTTATATAATGTGCTAATCACTAATGATTTGTGACATACAGTGCTTTACATAGTTACATAATGTAATTTAGGGTTTACTTTAGTTTTTTAAATTCTAGTTCTTCCATTAAATTCCTCTCATCATTGCCCTTTGTACACCACACAGGCTGAATAATGATTTACTCAAGATTACTAAATAGTATTCCTACCTCCAGGCAGACAAGAACAGTGTAGGGGTGAGATTTATTAATAAACATCATTGTACTACATTTAAATAGCGAAGAAGCAAAAGGTCATGTAAGTAGGGTCGGATTTCTGCATAACCAACATAGGCCATGGCTGAGGACAGGGGTGTCCTGAGGCCAAGTGTCACCTGGAGCGGATACCAGGTGACACCCCGATGTGACGTCATTGCACATCGCGGCCATCTTTGTGATACCTGCCAGCGGCCATCTTGGTGATGGATTTCAACAGAGAGAGGAGGAGACGTTCACCTGGCAGCCGGTATGCCGCTGGGTCACCTCTTTTCTCCAGGAACTGTCAGGTTCTCGGTCCATGACCGAGTGCCTGACTTTTCAGAGGGGGACACACCAAAATGACTGCCAGCCATTTTAGTGTCACCCCTCCAATGGTGTCACCCAGGTGCGGGCCGCACCCCCCTTGTAACGCCACTGGCTGAGGGTGACAAGGCTGTCAGGGGCTGCAGGCATTACCCAAACATCATGTGGCTGGAATATTCCTGTCTATAATAAAAGGTTCCAGGATGCCTCCCAGTCTGTACAGTTGTTACATTTTAGCCTGTGGAATAGTGTACTGTGTACTGGTTCAGTGTACCTAGAACAAGATGTAAGGGTGAAGATATCGGGAGTTGGGGCAAGAATTCAAATGAGAATTAGAAAGTCGAAATGGAGAAAGGTTCCATGTGATCAGCAGCTGAACATGGATCAGTTGGTCTTAAAAGATCTCCTGGTCACCTGTTCCGGGTATACTGATTCAGAGTAGGTAAACTCTTGCCTTCTGAAACTATATTGTTTAATCTTGTCAGTGTGATACTAAGGTTAGCTAATAGACTATAGCAGGGGGTGAAGGGTAGCATAAAACAGTTGACCTAGTAGAGCAGGAGGTATAAATCTTGACCTGACTATAAGCATAGATTTATAGACAATATTTACTCTTATTTCCTGTAAAATTTAATGCGAAGTTTATTTTGAAAAATCTCCTTGAACTGGATCATTTTAATTCATGTGGTTGTATAAGACCTTGCAGTTCAAATATAGCTTTAATGTCTATATGAATAATGAGTAAAACAGGTTTGACCCTCCAAAAAATTTACTTCATTGAAGTAAACAAAAACTTGAGGGAAGACTATGGACAAATGTTTACAGATTAACGATAGAAGAGAAAGACAGCCGCCTCAGTGATCTCCTTGGAGGTACTCCATCCATTGTGTGTTCCATAGCCGTCCCAGTCAAAGGCTGCAAAGTCTCCACACTGACGAGGTGATGCCTCTGGCATGTATCCACCTCCTCCAATGCAGTGCTAGTAAAATGTGAAAGAAGTATGCAATATTAATAACTAATTAGCACTAAAACTTCTTAGTACAATGTAAAGCAAGCATTAGGAAAATATTATATATTATTAAAATATTGTTTGCTACAATTAAATAATAGAAGTTGCCATTATAAAACAGATCAGAGATGAAACTATCATAAGGTGCCACAAAACTACTACCGTGTTTCCTCGAAAGTAAGACCTACCCCGAAAGTAAGACCTAGCACTATTTAAACATTCCTGTAATATAAGACCTAACCCGAAAATAAGACCTAGTTTGGGGGTGGGGGCAGCCCAGAGAGCAACCAGAGTACATGGCGGGGACTAACCGCTGCACCGCAGCTCCCGCATGCTGCCCGTGTCACGAAATCAGCAGACACCCGTCTGCCTTTGCTTAGAGAGCTGCCACCCTGCAGAAAACTACATTTAATCAGAGAGGAGAGCTCCAGGACAGCTGCAGCCTGCAGGTATTGTGACACAGTGTGTGATAGTATTTCAAATAAGACATCCCCCGAAAATAAGACCTAGTGTGTTTTTTTGGGGGGAAAAAAATATAAGACAGTGTCTTATTTTCGGGGAAACACGGTACATAGGAGAGGGAGTGATGCTGCATCACATCCTTCAGCATCTCCTCTCACGACAAACGGCTCTTGCAGTACTTTGTTGACTGTAGGCATTATCTGTTGCTAATCTGATCCTTATTAAAGTCTGTGCAGACATTGAATGACTGAATATGCTCAGAATTGCATATTTTAACTGTATTGGACCTTTCAGAGTTTGTAAGCTATATTACCTGTGTTTTTCTACAGGCCATTAGGGGTACATTTTGGAATTGTTGGCTGTGCTGTGGGGGCCAAGACAAAGTTCTTGCAACTTGTTGAAAATATGTATGTATGTATAAAATATGCAGTCTTACAAATCTCAAAAGGATTATTCTTCTTTGAAAGATAGTGTAAATGATTAGCAAGCTATCTGATCCCTTCCCCCATGCAGAACTGTTTCATTACTAGCAGTCACAAGTGAAGTATATATACAGTACTTTTACGTTTATTGGCTCCTATTAGGGTATGATGTACAACAATTGCTCCTACCACTTTATGTAGCATATATATGATTCTACAAAGCACATTGTATCAGTACTAATGCAGTATAATGCTTACATGCTCTACATTGCAGCCTGTCACTTTTACACCAGCACAAAGAGCCAGGGGAGCTCTTTCCGTGTTAATAGCTCGGAACTGGACATAGCCGGCAGTGAACTCATCTGTACAGAAAGAATGGTGATACACAACAGGAACAGCAGGTCCATTGTGTGCCAAACAGGTTCCAATATTGTAAACCACAGGGTATTTCTATGAAGATGGTAAAAACATCAGTTGCTATCATTGATAGGTAAATACTACATAAAAAACTCAAGAATCTTGTAGCAATAACATCATACTGTCCGAAGTACATAAATCAAGCTGACAGTACAGTTAACCAAAGGTTTGGTCTAAATGTCCTGTTGATGAACTCCTATTTTTATCATCTGTGTGATTTACAGTATTTTTGGGGGGGGCTTTGACTATCTCTTGCATAGGTATAACACCCCGACCACAAAAAAGAAAAAAAAGTAGAAGATATATATAACCACAAACATAGTACACAATAAAAAGATATCAAACATATTAGCCTAATTTATTAAGGTGAAGTGACTATGCAGCAGACGCTTCATAAACCACAACAATAAACTAGAATTCTTATTTTACTAATCTGACTATGGTATATGAAAATCTGTTTGGTTGCTGTACATTCCTGACATTTGCACAAAGATTCAAGTAGCAAAACAGAGTAAACCTCTTAGTAACCAAATTCACTTTAGTGATCCAAATTAAGACAAAATGGCTTCTGACTGGCACCAAGGGTAGATAATGGGTTGGAGTCTTGCACCTTGCCCTGCTTTATTTTATAAACCCATTAGTTTGAGTTTTTATTTAATGGAAACGTGTAAGGTTCTTATTTATCAAACAAGTTGGACAAACAAAGACAAACCCTTTGTGCTAATAGCTACTTGAAGTACTATAGCCTCTTCTATTCCACAGAGTACTTACCTTGTATAGCTGGAAGAGGTTGCCACCCTCCTGTTTAAAGAAACTGTTGTCCGTACGATATCTCAAAAGAGATGAATTCCTCCAGAGAGGCAAGGGTGTGTTATTGGGAACATGCCACAGGCTCAGATCTTCGGCAGTGATATCATAATACCCTGGATTCTAAAACACAAATCATTTAAAAATAGATTAATTTATATTTTAGATTTATTAAATATTAAATATTTTAGACTTTTTAAAAGTATTAATTAAATAGAAGCATTGTAACAATGTCCCCAAAAGTTTTTTCAGAGCCATCTGTAAGTGACAGACCAAAGTCTACTTGAGATGTGACTCTTGTGTAATAATTTATAATTTATGGCTGGCAGTCTTCACATGAAATAGTGCATTTCCAATTATTCCTGGATGAAGAGGCTTTAGAAGCTGGTGCAAACACAGTAACAGTATGCATAGTCCCACTAGCAACACAGTAGCAAGAATTTACCATGCATGTCCTTCAATTACCTTATGTGGTATTCTATGTTTTGTATAAAATAGTAATACCTTGTAATCATCACTAGTTGCACCATCTGGTAGCCCAAATGTGGCATAATTCGCCCAGTTCCCATCTCCTGCTGGATTATTAGGGTTGTTTCCCTGCTGGCTGGACCAACGATCTCCTGGTGTGCATTTTCCATTCATGTTGTTCTCATGTACACTTGCCACCAGTGTCCAACCTCCACCATTGGTTGTCATATCACAGAAGGTTTGGTAGATCGCTCCATCTTCAGTGGTCAGAGTGTAAATTCCATCTAGAGTAGCAGTGATTTAAACTGTTCAAAACTTGTACTTTAATTAGAATTAACACACAGTATGCAGTCAGTGAAACTATAGTA